ATTTCAAAATTGAAGTTATCATATGACAAATATTCAGTGGACAAAGTTTGAACAAAAATCTATTGTCACTTTTATTTCAGAGGAATTACCTTAAAATGCAAGATTAGTACGACCGAAAAAAAAATATCAGGGCCATTAAATTTGCCCTATCATCTAGTTCCTAAAATACTAGCCCTGCATTCTAAGTACCGTGTGGAAACTAACTTGGAGTGCCAGGAGGACCTAAATATAAATTAAAAAAGGATAAAAAAGTTTAAATGGCAGATGCTTCAAATCACCAATCTGCCACGCCAAATAAGCTTATTGTTATGTGAAATGTAACGTGTTTCTAAATCGTTAATTATTATCGTGTCAATTGAAATGTAAAACTAAACAGATGAAATTGAAAAATTACTGTGGCGCTGTGAAACTTATTTTCGGACATATTGTCCAGTCTTGGTTCCACTAATGACTAACATCTTTGTCATGTTTCTACCATACTGTCATTTCTTTCCAGATATTCCCAATTGTCAGCAAGCCTAACTAGCAGGACGTGTACAATATGATTTATCAGCACACTTCGACATAAGATCCGCCATTGTATGACAGTTCATTTAGTTCGCTGGGGAAATGAGGAAATTTCAAATTTATGAAAAGCTCTTGTCACTTCAGCTTTTGAAACATCTCTCTTATATTTCAGTCCATTTATTAAAGTGCAATTTAACTTCACAAGGTTGAAATTTAGTTAAATCACTTTCATTTGTTCAAGTGGGTATGGGTTATTCCTTCCTAAATTAGGTATCTTACCGCTTCAGGAAGCGCTTAAGTACCTTGTCTGAAATCTCAAGTATTCTTCACTGATCAAGACTTCTTTTGTTTCCAACACAGGAAACGAAGTTTCCTCTGTGATCTTGAACCCCTTGTGATTTTTACCGTTGTAAAGAGGTCAATGACTGTTTGCTTCCATATCGAGCATAATTCTGAGTTGTCGAGGACACTAACTCCGCCCCTATTCATTATAACAAACACTGGTTTAAGTTTGACCTTTTAAAACTGCAAGATTAAGTTCTTCATTCAATGCCATAATAATTGGTATGTTTCTCGCCAGTCAAACGTGACCCTTCTGTACTAATTACTATTCATCAGCCAAAATAGAACTATAAGTAAAATTCAGACAGAATTGTTGAATTTGTGCTATAGCTAGTCAGTTCGTGAGAAAAACGCACTTGTTTTGTAAAATAAATGATTAAGTGTCATTCTTGATATTTGCCCGCAAAGCAATCAAGCTCCTTTAACTCGAAAATATTCTGACTCCCAACTGGGTGTCCGTTTAGTAAGAAATTAAATTTTAAGAACTCAGAAGATGGCCAATTTCTACGAACATTGTGATTTTCTTTTAAATAAACAACTTTTGTCGCTAATGCAGAAACATGATAAATGTACGTGTGGTTTACTTTTTAGACTCGCATTGTCATGATAAATTTCTATCATTAACAAGGCTTAATACACGTCATTCACCAAAGGCGAGTAATCTGTTTACTTAGATAAGAAAATGTACACTTTTGCATTTTATCTACTTTTTTCCTTTGTGTGTTTTAGGAACCTTTCAAATAAACATGCCTAAGTCAAATAGACGTTTGCGGCATTGTTTAAATAAACATGTGAAATGGCATCTGTTTAAGCCTCCATGATTAATATATAGCACCCGTTATGTTTTAGTCAGTACTCGTTTCTAGAGGAGATAGAGCGTGGTTGAATTTCTCGGGACAATGCTGGCGTTGTTCGCTGTTTTTGCTTTAATCCAAGTCCCCCACGGACAAGGAGTTCCTATTTTAAGTCGTTCACCAGGTAAATGTATTTGAATCTGTGTTGATTTTGCGCTTTTAGTAAAATTTCTTTCTACTTTTTATACCTTATGATGTTCAAAAACTCCAGAGTAAAATAGATCATCGTAAAGTAATCACAGTTATCCACGAGCAAGTTATTAGCTTTACAGGCCCGTTGTTAAAAATACTGCTCCAAGATCAAAAACCAAGTAGAGTAATGAAGGCAGCCTTGATTGTCTTTTTCTTTAATTGAAATCTCTAGTTGTGTAAAGTTAAAAATTTATATCTCGAAACCTTCAGTAACGTTAATTGGAAAAAAGAGTCACTACCCTCAGGTTGACATTATAGGACTCTCTATTTTCGGAAAATACTCGATAACTTTTATTGGTCTCTATTTTCTATATATTTTTTTAATAAAAACATTGAGTGTGAGAAAAGACAAAAATTTATGAACAGGATAATAAGGAGACACCTAAACAGAAACTTAATTAGGAAAGTATTTTGTCATTTTCTGTGAAATTGAAAATATACGTCATTATAGAATGAACCAACCACAAAAGTAGAAATTTCCTTTCACGAAAAAGATGAAACCACCATGTTGAGCCATTTATATTTCATTTGCCGAGTTTTATATTCTCTCTTTAAGGGTTAAGTGCATTAATGATACTAATTACGTAGAACGCGACTGCAATCAAAACAGGAACCCAACAAACGACTTAAATTTGCATCTATATAATCAAATCACAGAGAGAGTCCACAATTGACACTCAAGTGAACAAAGAAAATAAGGCAAACAGTGTTATTATTCCTGTACATTAAGTCAGCATATTAGTGGGAAGATTCAATCTGTTCTGAAAGGTTTCAATAATAGGTAAACAATCGTTTTAGGAGTAAAACAATATGAGGATATACTGTTAATAAAATCGTAATTATTACTATCATCATCATCATCATTATCATCATCATCATCACTATTTATTAATTATTATTATTATTACTATTATTATTATTGTTATTATTATTATTATTATTATTATTATTATTATTATTATTAATCGCTAACTGAGCTGGAATCTGGCGAGCCTGGTCGTTAATTTGAACCAAAATCGTACCGGAATCCCAAAGTTGAGTTTACAATTTGACTTTTACTTTTTTCCTATTATTATATTAATGCACCTTAAACATGTTTTTGCAACAAGCTTAGCAGGTTGGCGTTCGCCCCGGCTCTTCTATAATCAACCACTTACTTGAGAAGTATCTTTTGCACGAACAGATCGTCCTACTGGTTCGCATAACGTCTTTGGAATCATAGCAACCGAAATAATAGTCTAGGACTATGGTTGTTTGTTTGTTTCCTAAGAAAAACAAAATTCTCTTCCTATTTCTGTGCACAATTGAGAGTATAGAAACTTATAAAAATCGGCGACTGATTGCCGAAACAATTATGGGGAAAACATCCTTGCGTATGAGGTGACACAAGCTGGCGATAATCACCTCAAATCCAACGAGCACTAGTGGAATAATTGTTTTATTAAATAAAGAAAACCAAGCTTAAATAAAACATTAAAACGCCTCCAAAAATCACGCGTACGCTAACCATATTTGTAGAGCATGGTATAATGCGTCACAATCCATGATGGCTAAACCAATAAAAACTCTAGAATTACATTATCCAATGATCATGTTAATTTTTATAAATTTCACATGCAGAAGAGAACAGACCTCAACTGGATGATCCTGAAATGACAGCTACAGAAATCATCGACAAGATCAACGAAGGTTTGTACTGACTTCACTTTCTCACTGCTGTAAAGCCAGTGAAGCAATCTTACTGAACTTTCTCGATTTAACACTGGACCCCAGAACCCCAGACAAACACAGGGTGCGAATTAAAAAAGGTTCCCGCCATTTAAAAGGCGACTTATAGTATTGACCCTTTGAAATATTGAAGACTTTTTTTAAAGCTACTCTGATCACCGTCCTTAAGACAAAATATTGTTCCACACTGCCGTCCTGACAGGCAAATAACATTTAATTACTTTACTTTAAAGCTGTGGATATCGAGCCCAAGATGTATGAAGGTGATATACTTATAACCTTAAATCCCGGCGAATCGCCTGAGTTACTTCAAAAGAGGAACGCTCAGAGGTATAGGCAGTATCTCTGGAAGACCAAGATTGTCCCTTACGAAGTCTCGGAAACACTTGGTAAGATTTCACTGAGAATTCATCAGTATTGGTTAGAAAACCTTCAAGGTCGAGCCTTCAGCTTCGCAAGGAGTTTACCTAAGCCATTAAATTAGTCCAAGTTTACCCCGATACATGCAACATTCAAAACAAGGCTTCTAGCTAAAATTTATCTGAAAAATCAAATGCTCATTAGACTATTAATTAGAGCCGAGTGATTGAGCTAAAATGCACATGTAGTTTGCAAAATAGACTTGTCTAGTCGATCGTCTCGTAAGAGTATTCAGTTCCCAAAATCAGATAAAACTATAAAATTTCTTAGTCAAGAATTTCTAATTCACGGATTACAGGAACCTATCAACTGACAAATGACAGGACGTTACTGCATACCAATAGTTTAATTTTTTTTTCACAGTTAAAGACGGATATATGCCAACTATCCAGGCGGCGATTCAACAGTTTACAGAACACACCTGTGTCAAGTGGAAACCTCGCCAAAACGAGGAGCGATGGGTAATGTTTGTGAAAAAATCGGGGTAAGAAAAATGTGTCTGTAATGGTCTCTTGCTTGCCTGATCTTGAAAATGTCTTTGTTCAACGACAATGCCATCAACTTTAGCGCAGTGTCTTCCTAGGGCTTACAAACAATAATAATTTGATTATAAAGACCAGCATCTGTATGAAGGCAGAAATATAATTATTTGTAATTAGCTTACGTAAGAGTGAGGTATAACACGCTTGCCGGATCTAGCCAAGACTGAGTAAAAAAAAAACTAAAACAAAACAAAACAAACCAAAAACAAGAAACCGGCGATAAAGTGGTTGTGAGTTTTAACGATATTTTCCAAGCTCTAGCAGGAATGATAATCTCTATCCCTACCCCTCTCCTCCACCTCCCCTCCACCTCCCATGCCATTCAATATTGTACAGCTGCGAATGAGCTGTTCAGATATATCCCGATCTCAAAACTGCTTTGAGGGAAAACGCTTGTACAATGGGTACGAATAACCGTGAAAACCCCCATAAGATAAACTACCTCGACACTTAAGTCGCCAATTGAACACACAGTAGAGAAAATGATACTGGGATGTATTTAAAGAATCTCTAATTGATTTATTCCGCTCATTTCGTTTCTTGTTGTAGATGCTACTCTTCCGTGGGTATGAATTACTGGAAGAAAGGCTCCCAGGATATCTCTTTAGGACGCGGTTGTAATCATCAAGGAGTTATTATGCACGAGATGATGCATGCTGTAGGATTCTGGCACGAGCAGTCCCGTTATGACCGTGACCAGTATGTGGAGATCATGTGGGAGAATATTCAGCCTGGTAACGAGAATTCATTGCTCACTCTTTGTTTCAGTCATTTCTTGTGGGTGTGTTCAACTTGAAATCAGAAAAGGCATGATTAGGACCCATTTCATTAAATTTTCATTAAATTCCAAGTGGTCGAATGAGCTGAAGGTACTCTGTATAACATGTACAGCCTCAAATGTTCGTTTGCTCACTTTATTCGATCGTGTAATTTAAGCCCGCGCTCTACGACCGCTGACTAATTGGAAAACGGAAATGTGAGCTGAAAGGAAGCCTGTTTGACTGTCATCAAATTACTTACTCTAGAAAAAACTCAAACGACGATTGGCTATCGTTAAGATTATCATGGACTATCCTAAAACTATTTTGACTTTGTTTTCCTCAGGAAAAGAACACAACTTCAACAAATACAATCTTAATCGAATTGACTACTTGAATGAAGTTTACGACTTGGAGAGTATAATGCATTACGGCAGAACCAGCTTTTCTATTGAAAACGGCAAGCCCACCATACGTGCGATTGGTGATCCAAACAAACAACTTGGTCAGCGCAATGGGTTTAGCAAAACAGATATTGCTCAGATAAATGCATTGTACGACTGCTCAGGTAAGACATATGCTTCTAGACCAGCGAGTCCGCTACCATGAAGGCAAACTTTAATATACGAGTAAAGCAGTAAAACCGACATAAATCTCTTTGGCAATGTGTTCGTGGCAGACAGGGGAGAGAGGGCATTTTTTTGAGGTTTTTTTGGACGTCGTCGGTATTTTGTGGCCACATAAGTGATAGCAAACAAACAAACAAACATGATTTTTTAGTTTATCATTCTCTTTTTAGAGTACACTAATTTTTATGACTTTCAAAGGAAATGCGGCCAACAAATTGTTTACCTGATTAGCTTAAAGTTAGACTTCCCAACAACAGTAAAGTATAGCACATTAAAATTAGTGTGTACAGAAGACAAGTGACGTTCAGTTATCTCAAAATATACATGCTTGTCTTTAGCCAAAATTCGAAACTAGTTTCAAAAAATAAAAGGTTTTTGACGATAGTTAAACCCGGTGCTTACTTAAAAGCATAAACATAAACATAAGAAGCTTATGCGCTAATGGAAACGGCTGCGACATAATCATAATTAAGCATAAGCATTCTTCCTATGCTTATGCTTATGCCGGTGTTATGTCCAATGACGACATGGTTGACGTAAGCATAAAGTGCTCGCTGATTGGCTGAAAGTCTTTCGCTCATGCTTATGCTTATGCTTATGCCATCCATACACCCAATGGACATAACAGCGACATGAGGTTAATGAGGACTAGGCTGTTTGTTTCTGACTGACCGGTCCTGAACCTGAAATTCTTTTAGAAACACTCACACACTTGAACTCTGATCTCTGGTAAAACTGTATATAAGTCATTCTAAAAACAACAACGATGAAGAAAGCGGACGAACAACCTAGATCTCCCACGTCAGTTTGGGAACTAGGTTACCTTCTTCGATGCTGCTAGAAGTATTTTAATCAATATTCGTTTACTGATCAATACCTGAAAATAACAACTTAGTGTAGTTATTTTCCAAGCAATCTGGATAGGGAAAAAGAGAGGTGAAAAAAAGATTCTACATCTTATTATTTATAACGCCGTTAGCGGCATGTAAAGGAAAATAAAATAAAGCAAAACATCTTTCCAAATACGGTATTGTCAATCAATCGATAAACCAATCACAACCAGAAAACCTCTTACATCTCAAACAATGTCAATTGTCAAATGGTAATACCTCTAAAGTCGGGTATCCCACAAGGAAACAAATAATGAATGGATAGAACAAGCGAATATTTTAGCGAGGCTAGATCAAAAACTGCGCTGTCAAGTAACATAAGTTCTTTCCCAGGCCCTAGCGGTGGTTGGAGCTCATGGACAGTCTTTGGTCCTTGCGACAACCAGTGCAGACATGTGCGCCAGCGGTTTTGTGCATCACATGACCTAAACAACTGTCCTGGAGCAGACAAAATCGGAATAGAAACACAGGTTGAAGACTGCAAAGAAAAATGTTATGGTAAATATAGTTTTTCAATTTACTGTTAATAGAGATGTTTAGACAAATGTCAGGAAACACTTGGCATCGTT